AAATAAGAAAAAGGTCACATTTCATCAGAACCACAAGAGGGAAGGCAGTTCCTAGATAGACACCTGTATCGCCTACACTGGAAAAGTAGAGAGAGTCAAGGCTAGAGCTTAGTTGGTAGAGGGCCTCGCTTGCAGGAAGCCCTAAGTTCAGTCTCCAGTACCACATAAACAGACAGGGTGACTTACACCACGAAACCTGTAATCCCAGCACTCGAGGATCAGGAGTTCAAGGCTATCCTTGGCTACATAGGAAGTTTAGATCAGGATAGGCCACGTGACATTCTGTCTCAAAACAGAAAAGAAAAGGAGAAAAAGGCAGATAGACCACAGTGTTTGCTTATCAACTTATCAGGTAGAATGACTTGGAGAGTCCAAGTAACTAGCGTATTTTCTTCCTTGCAACAATATAATGGCAGTAAAAAATCACTGTAACTGGAGGATTGTTTGTGATCAAACAGAGGGACTTGAGCTGTGTCCTTCATGTAGTGAGAGCCCAACCACTGGAAAAAACACTTGAGAGACAAGCACTGTATCCTAGGGCCACAAGGCAGCAACCTGATTTTGGGGTCCCAACTGAGCAGGCTCAGCCACTTGCCTGAATGACTGAAGAAGTCATAGTAGTAGTAGTAGTAGTAGTAGAAGCAGAAAACAAATTTGTTTAGCATAAAGGAAGTGAATACAGAGACTAGCATCCTAGGCTTGCCTGTAGGATCCAAGAAGAACTTCAGGCTATACAAGAAGGAACAAACTTGTTTGGGTGATCGTTATCTCAGGAGGTTGTGAGGAACCTGGTTGGTGACAGGAAAGCTACTGCCTACAGAGTAGTTTTGACTCTTATTGCAACATGTTTATGGTTAGACTTGGAACCCACAGCAACTGCAAAAAAAAAAAAAAAAGACTCAGAAAAAGAGCAAGACAGTTAGTTAGGTCAACCACTGCATCTCCTTTCAAGGTTAAGACAAAGACTGGAAAGTTCTAGATGTTCCCTCAGTGGTCTGGAACAGTGCAGCTTAAAGCTAGAAGATACAATCTTTCTGCCACCTCTTCCATGCTGGTCTCTGAGTCTGGGGTTCAGGGGACAGCCTATGATACAGATGTCCCATATGTAGCTGAGTACTCCACAGGTCCTTATTCTCTGCATTTGACTAGCTGTGAATTTCTGCATCAGCTACATCCTTTTCACTAAGAAGCATCTCTGATGAGGTCTGGGAGCTGCACTAATCTACCTGTACAGAGATTCTAATCTAGAAAGGAGGAGTTTCATAGTATGCTTATTTGACAGAATTTATTTCAGAAAATAATAGAAGTAGGTTGGGGAGAACCATAGTGGAACAGTATTTTTGCTTTTTTTTTTTTTTTTTTTTTTGGACAAGACAGGACAAGTCAAAACAACTGTGGTATTTTTACAAGATCGAGTTAGCTAACACGAGTGTGCAAGGAAAAGGGCTCACAAACTGGAGATATTGACAGTTGTGGGAGGGGAGAGGACCAACCAGTTTTCTTTAAGAATGTGTTCCCTGGTGGGCTGACCATGTTCCAGCAGATGGCTTCACATGAGGGATCCCATTTACTGAAACATGGGCAACCTGAAAACACTAAACACAGCGTATACGTGTATGGAATTGTCAAGAGATAAAAAAGGGGGAACAGAAATAGAGACACTTTTAAAAAGAGAGCATGTTAATTCTTATATATGTTGCTTAAAGGGTTAGAAGAAATTTTATTTTATATTTTTCATATAAGCTAGATACCTTTTAAAGATTTACTTTGTGTGTGTGTGTGTGTGTGTGTGTGTGTGTGTGTGTTTGCTCATGCCACAGCAAGTTTATGGAAGTCAGTAGACAACTTGAGGGAGAAGGTTCTCTCTTCTCTGTTCCTTTGTAAAAATAAATTTGGAGCCATTTATTAAGGTAAGAAATTATTTTCCATTTGACTGTAAAGTGCCTGAGATGAAACTTCAGTCAGGGAAATTTTGACCACACCTCTTGTTTATATCTGCAATCCTTCACTGAGCAAGAGAAACTCCCATGTTGGCAACGGTGGTGTCTCTGTAGCTCCACCTTCTTATTGGTTGAGAGGGCATCTTCAAATGGATTGCAGCATTCTCTCCACAGCCGTAGGCTTTCAAAGGCTGCCTGATGCGAACTGCCGGCTTTCTGTGTGAGTCTGGGCAAATTATTTCAACATCTCTATTTCAGCCCATAGACTTTCTGAAACAACTATATAACACAATGTGCTTACTACATGGTAAGAGTTCAATAAACGACAGATGCCACCCTTTGTGGGCTATGGTGGGGCTGAGGTGTAGCTTGGTTGGTAGAGTGTTTGTCTTGCATGCACAAAGCTCTGGGTTCCATCCTCAGCCCCCCCCCCCCCCGAACCCAGCATGCTCCCTGTAAGTCCATCAAGCAGGACTAGAATTTCAAGGTCATCCTTGGTGTCATGATGAGTCTGAGGCTAGCTGGGGCAACATGAGACTGTGGACTAGTATACCTTTAGTCATATAGAGATAAGAAATTTAACTTTTTCTCTTTCATGAAGCCAGTTATGAGCTACAGATTAGATTCCTGATATGCAAGACAGTGGTATTCAGTTTATTGCTAGTACCTTAGGAGTGGAGGGAACCTTTTCCCATAATATCTGAACACAAGGAAATTAAGAAAGCCTGTGAAAGATACTAAATCTTGATGTGGCAGAGAGTCGAGGCTCAACTTGCTGGTAGCCTGGGTCACTTAAGTTGGCCAGGTGCAACTTCATTTGGACCCAGCATTCAGAGAGGAAAAGGAGAGTAGAGACATAGTGAGAATATAAACCAACCCACAGTAGTCTAAAACGGGACAGGCATCATCAGACCTGAGACTAGATTGTTTCCAGACCAGAAGATTCAGACCACAAGCCTGGAGGACCCCAAGGCTGGCTGGCATCCAGCTTCTCCTAGGTCTGATGTGAATCTCTCAGAGGCGCTTTACATTGAAGAAGGAAGGAGCTGAGAACCCAAGAAGTCTGCCAGAGATTGGGCAAGGCTGCCTCCTCTTGTCTTCAGCACCAAGAATAGACTCCTTTGATCCAATGGCCTGAGCTGTCCTTCTGGTTGAACCATCACTGATTGCAGAGCTCTCCTAACCATCCCTAGAGTTTCTGCCATGCATGAGAGGAGGTTGCTGGGCTGCTTGCTGAAGCCTTGGAAAAATATGTTAGGAATGGAGTAGGAGAATCAGGTATGGGTTGGTGAAAACAGGGCGAGGTGTGTGGGGGGGACAAGCTGGGGAGCCAGATCCACAGGTACAGTCACAAGAGAGGACTGTGTACATCTTTTTCTTTGCAGATGTCAGAGGTGTCTGGGTCTGGACACAAAGAAGGGACTGAGCGGTGACAAAGACTAAAGAAGACTACCTTAAGAACTACCAGAGGGGCACACGGTTAACAAGCACTGCCTGCAATCTGATCCCTCCCTGCTGTAGAAGCACAATATCCAGGCTGTTTGGACTCTCCCAGGCAGACTGTGTGTCTTTTTGTAACTTTGAATTGATGCCAGTCACGTTAGCATTACTGTGTCAGGGTTGACGGTGGAGAGACAAGAGAGAGGCTGGGTGATTTCTAACTATCTGTGTGGAAGAGAAAGGCCATCTTACTTCTTGATGTATTTTGAATCCTGTATCCCCCTGATCCTCAGTCCAGAGGCATGTGCTTGAAAGAGGAAGCAAGGGGTCTGGGGAGTGGAACTCTTAGCCCAGGCTAGAAAGGATTGAGGCCACGAGGCAGGGAGAGCAACCATGAGGGAGCAATAAGGGTCTCTGCTCCTGGCTTTACTCAGAAGAACCCGCTGTCTCCAGTGAGCTCCACCACACCCTACCAGAGTCCAGTTTTATGCTCTCGGGGGGGGGGGGGGGGGGGGGGGGGGGGGGGGGGGGGGGGGGGTGGGCATTTGGGCCTGAGAGCTGAGGCTGGAGCCCAACAGGAAGGCCCATCAGTACAGGTGCATGAAGTAGGCGCTTCTCTGAGAGGCCTTTGGTCCAAAGGAGCTGCCATCGAGTTAACTTCTTTGAAAGTCTGTGCTAGAAGCTTCTTACAATGTAGGCCCTTGTTGTTTTATTCTTATTTTTTAATTAATAGGCTTAATGTGTGTGTGTGTTTCTCTACTATAGTATGTGTGCAAAGGTCAGAGACAGGTTTCTGAGTGACCTTTTCCTTCTATGGTGTGGGTCCCATGGTTTAAATGATGGCCATAAGGCTTGGTAGCAGGGCCTTTCCCTGCTGAACCATCTTTTCTTTTTTCTTTTTCTTTTTCTTTGTTTATTTAGAGACAGGGTCTCTTGTAGCCAACTCTCTATGTAGCTGAGGATGATCTTGAATTTTTTGAGTCCTGGAATTACAGGCATGCGCCAGCATTCCTGGTTTACATGGTACAGGCATTAGAACCCAGAGCTTTGTGCACACCAAGGTTCCTCTTACTTTTTTTTTTGTTTGTTTTTTGTTTTGTTTTGTTTTCAAGACAGGGCTTCTCTGTAGCTTTGAATCCTGCCCTGGAAACTCACTTTGTAGACCAGACTGGTCTCAAAGTCACAGAAATCTGCCTGTCTCTGTCTCCTGAATGCTGGGATTAAAGGCGTGTGTCCTCTTACTTTTGACAAAGAAAACTTGACACCACAGAGTTACATCAAGCAAAAGTCTAGCCATCAGACCCCTGCCCAAACCTGCCTCCAAACGAGGAAGAATTTGGAAATGCTCCCTGCGCGGATCCCAGAGCTTCCTCAGCTGAGTTTCAGCACCTTTAGTCCTCAGCTAACTCAGGTCCTGTGGCCAGCTCTAAAAAGCATGGGGAGGGAGCTGAGGCTCCCCTGTGCTCTGGCTTCCCTGGGCAGTCTCCAGCTTGCTCAGCCAGACCCGGGTGGAGGCGGGGGCGGGGCGCTGCTTTTTCTGACTAGGGAGGAGGGGCCACAGTTAGGTTGGTCCCTTGGCCATTAAACTAGCTGCTGTCACAGGAGCCGCCCCAGGCTTCTCCCAAGCGCGTAGGGACTGAGCCCAGACCCTCTGTAAAGCAGTCAGATTTGGGATCAGCAGCAAACCCTGTCCCCTGCCGCAGCACAGGTTACATGGGTCCCGGGGTCACCTGTCCGTGGGGAAGCCGGCTCTCTGGCTTCCAGGTGAGGACTTGGATAGAGCCTGTGGTGGCCTCAACCCAGGTGGCCGGCTCCCTCTACGATGCAGGATTACTCTTGGTAGTGAAGGAGTCCTTCTCATCTGAGGCTGGAGGCTCTTCCAACCACAATGCCAGCCAGTCGATCAGGGGGCATCAGGAGGACCAACAGCAGAAGGCCATCTCCAATTTCTACATCATTTACAACCTCGTGATGGGTCTGACACCGCTGCTGTCCGCCTATGGGTTGGGCTGGCTCAGTGACCGCTACCATCGCAAGATCTCTATCTGCACGGCAACACTGGGTTTCCTGCTGTGCCGCACAGGACTCCTCCTCAAAGTGATGCTGGACTGGCCGGTGGAGGTGTTGTACGGAGCAGTGGCGCTCAGTGGGCTCTGTGGGGGCTTCTCCGCTTATTGGTCCGGGGTCATGGCACTGGGATCCCTAGGCTGCGCTGAAGGCCACCGCTCCTTGCGCCTCATCCTCATCGATTTAGTCCTGGGCTTGGCTGGGTTCTGTGGGAGCATGGCCTCAGGGCATCTCTTCAAACAAATAGTTGGGCACTCTGCTCAGGGCCTCCTGTTAACCTCCTGTAGTGTGGGCTGTGCGGCTTTTGCCCTTTTCTACAGCCTTTTTGTGCTGAAGGTCCCTGAGTCTGTGTCCAAGTCCAACAAGGTGTACCCCACTGTAGATACTGTGTCTGGCATGGTGGGCACCTATCGAACCATGGATCCAGATGAACTGGACAAGCAGGATGTATCCAGGAACGCTTTGACTCCTGGGAAAAGGAAGACCTCCCAGACCATCATCGCCCTGCTATTTGTGGGTGCCATCGTCTATGACCTGGCCGTTGTGGGCACAGTGGATGTCATGGCTCTTTTTGTGCTAAAGGAACCTCTCAGTTGGAACCAAGTGCAGCTGGGCTATGGGATGGCTTCTGGGTACATAATCTTCATCACCAGCTTCTTGGGTGTTCTAGTCTTCTCCCGCTACTTCCCGGACACCACAATGATCATAATTGGGATGGTCTCCTTTGGGTCTGGAGCCCTTCTCTTAGCCTTTGTGAAGGAGACATACATGTTCTACATTGGTAAGTTTGGGGCTCAGGGAGGCAGGATGCTGTAGGCAATCTGTGTCATAGGTTAGGGGTGTGGTCTAGGAGTCCCAGTTCAGTACAGGGGAGACAAGAATGGGTTTGTCTGTTTTGTGCATGTATTACCTGTATTGCTCACTGGATCTTGCCACAGTGGTGCCCATGCTCTGGGGCAAGGAGGTGTAGTCAGTGGATGGCACAGCCTGAAGTGGAGAAGGGTTCATGTGACTTTAATAATTTAAAATTGTATCTATGTAAGCAGAGTGGGCAGCGTGCACTCTATAACGGCCTGCGTTTCTCAGAGGATGGTTTGGCAGAGCTCATTTTCTCCTTACACCACGTGGCTTCAGGGATTGAACTCAGGTTATCTGGTAGCAAGCACCTTTACCTGCTAAGCTACTTCCCCAACCCTCTCTTTCTAGCTTTAAATAGATAAAATACACAAAAAGTTCCCTAAATCATCTAGGGCCAGATAAGAGCTTTTTAACAGTGCACAGAATTTCTCAATCATTAGCTCCAGTGGAACTCCATTGGCTCTACAAGCATTGGAGGACAGAGAGGTCAGACAACCTTGAGCAGAAAGCTCTAGAACTCACGCGGTGACAGAACTTTCTCCAGCTGTAATCGTGGCCTCACCTGTCAGCACAATGGCCACTAGCCACGTGTAGCTATCGAGCATTTGATATGTGACCAGCGTAGGAAAGAACAGAGTTTAGGGCTTATTTCATCTTAACTTACGTAGGCTGCACGTGCTGAATAGCTAACAATTTGGAAAAAAAAAACCAAAACTCTAGATGGTTATCAGAGAACTACCCCAGGTCATAGACCTCAGAGAGACAGCCAGCAAAATGGCAATGTCCCAGGTAAGAATCCTTGTGCAGAGGACAGAGTGCCCTTCTCTCCAGCCCTCCCCCCTTCCTTTTCTTTCTCTCCCCATCCCCCACTAGTTAATAATGAGGTGAGGCAGCTGAACTAGGTGGGGGAACCATTTCTGAGAGCCAAAGATTCAGAGTCTGGGCTACTCAGGGTGCTCCCAGCAGAAAGGTCTAGTCTTCTGGGCCAAGACCAACAGGGACTGGGGCGGGGGGCTTTGTTTGTTCTGATCTGTGTTAAAGCTGGACTCAAATGACAAGTATTCTTCCGATCTGTTACAGCTCGAGCTATCATGATGTTTGCACTTATCCCCATCACGACCATCCGATCAGCCATGTCCAAACTCATAAAGGACTCTTCCTATGGTGAGCAGAGGACTCTCCAGGAGGTCCTGCTTGCTGTCACAGACTCTCAGAAACAGAAGATTCAGAAGCAGGGCTGGGGAGATGGCTCAGTTGATAAAGTGCTTGCACGAGGTCCTGAGGGTGGATCTCCAACACCCATGAAATGCTGGTGTGGGGGCTGGGGAGGATGAGAGGAGGGTCCCTGCAGCTTTATGTCTACTCATAGCCTTCACACACACACACACACACACACACACACACACACACACACGTCCTAGAAGCATCCTCAAACTTATAGGGATCGTACTGGTTTCTATGTAGGGCAAGAAGGAGGGTAGAGAAAGTTCACAAAGTTAGTCACTACAAGTCAGAGTCAAGGAAAGATATTTGTGGAAGATCCAACTAGATGGAGAAAGGATTCCCTCCAAATTGAGCCATGGGGACTGAAAAGGAGTCCCTAGGAGAGTGATCGGGGTCTCTGGAGATCCCCAGGGACCAGGTAGAGGGAACAAGATAGGGACAACAATATATGTCTTGATAATCTTTGTTTCTTCCACAGGAAAGGTGTTTGTTATATTGCAGCTGTGCCTAGCTCTGACTGGCGTGGTGACATCCACCCTATATAACAAGATCTATCAGCTCACTCTGGACAAGTTCACAGGCACCTGCTTTGTCCTATCTTCCTGTCTCTCCTTCTTGGCAATTGTTCCAATTGGGTAAGACAAAAACTGTCTACTGTGTGGGTTTAGGTTTAGGGCCCTGGTGTTTACGTCAACCACAGGCTTTTTTTTTTTTTTTTTTTTTTTTAATTATAAGCGCTTTCTCAAAGAAGAACAGCATCAAAAATTTGGTTCCTTTCTGACAATTTTATAAAACTATTTATTTATTTATTTATATACTTCCTTACAGTTGGAGGCTCTGTAAGAAACTCACAGGAGCAATTCTGACCAAATCTTTGGTTTGGATCCTTTGTCCCTTCCAAGGACATTTTCTTCTCTGTGCCCTGAAGGGACTCAGGGACCACTGTGTGACTTGACACGTGTGAGCTCCCCAACAAGGCCTTAGGCAACAATTCCTTGACCTCTTCCTGGCCTCTCCCTTAAGAAACAAGAGCACTCACCTCCAGGCAAGCACAGGCAGATGACCCAGCAGTGAAAGAACAGGCGAGCTTCTCCATAGCCAGACACTGGTCCAGAAGTCAGAAGGACGGAAAAAAGCCAGAGTTATTTGGCTTCACTAGAATAAGTGTGAATTGCAAAGGTGTGTGTGTGTGTGTGTGTGTGTGTGTGTGTGTGTGTGCGCGCGCGCATGTGGGCTGAAGTTCATTCTCTCCTTACACCATGTAGGATCTGGGCTTGAACTCAGATTTGTCAGGCTTGGTGGCAAGTGTCCTTACCTGTTAAGCCATCTTACCAGCTCTGCAACAAATGTTTTGAAAACATTTCATGTGTGTTCAGATGCCCTTGGAGGACAGAGAAAGGTCTTAGATCCCTTGGAGCTAGAGTTAGAGGTTGTTATAAGGCCCTTGACATGGGTGCAGGGAATCAAAGTCGGGTCCTCTGGAAGCATCCTTACCTGCAGAACCATCCTGCCAGCTCTACACCAAATCTTAATTCGCCACACAGAATCTTCACGATCTTGTGTCCAGCAGGCAGAGGCTCTGACCGGATGACCATGTTAAGTGCTTCCTTCATCAGCCTTCAGCCGTCCAGAAACACATGCAGACAAAGACACATTTCTATACATTGCATGACTAGGAAAGATTTGAAAATGACTGCTCTCAGGTCCCATCTCCACAGACTGGGACTCGCACAGCCTGGGGTAGACATAGTTTTAAAGCTCGACAGCTTGTTTTGAATGTATAACTAAGACTGAACACGCATGGTGTAAACAGCAATGCTTCCCTTGTCCCGAAGTCACTCAATGAGAATCCGAAAATCTCTTCCAGCTAAAGGTGGCCAGGTTCTTGTGCCGTCATTAAGTAAAAGCAGGAGGAAAGACCTGTGGGGTCCTAGCTACAGAAGGGAAGGCTATGCCAAGCACAGACAGTTCCAGGAAGGCGTGCCAAAGCAGGGCGGGACATGGAAGTCAGAAGGCTGGACCAGCTACTATTGCATTCTCCTTCCTGATACCAGAAGAGGTCTTTAGGCCAGGGCTGCCAACAGCCTGGCCATAAATGAGGGGGCAGGATCTGAGTGGTCCCTGTAACAAAGGGAAGGCATAGTTACAGTCACAATGGGAACCTGTCTTCCTTGCCAGTTCTTCTTTACATGAACAGGGGGTGTTAAGGAAGGCTTCACAAGGCTCTTTGCTCCACGGGGAAAGTGTAAACCTCCAGAAGAGAATGATTTCATGTTCTCCAACCTCCACACAAGCTACATCCGTATCCCATCTCCATCACAGACTTTTAAACAAACAGTACTAGCAAACACTTTAAATCTTTGTATATAATAATTCATAAAGACTTTTTCGAGGTAACTATTATTTATCCCTATTTTGCAGAAGAGAAAACAAAAACTCCTCCCTCCACGTTGGTCTAAATTAAATCTTGTTTAAGCTTCTGTATTTCCCTTCACAGCACACTGTTTATATGCTTCCCACTGGACTATAGGCCCTCAGAAGACAGAGCCCACAGCTGTGTGGCTCCCTGTGTGCCCACGGTGCCCAGGAGAGAGCTCAGCAACTAAGAAGTGTAGAGCATGGTTCTCAACCTGTGGGTTGCATATTACATATTTACATTACAATTCATAGCAAAAGCAAAGCCACAGTTATGGAGTAGCAACAAAAAGAATTTTATAGTTGTGGGTCATACAACATGAGGACCTGTATTAGAGGATCGCATTAGGAAGGTTGAGAACCACTGCCCTAGGAGGATTTGCTTAGTGATTAAATGCAGGACTGAGGCAAAGATGAAACAGCTGTCTAGTCCACAGTGGTAGTGGAGACAGGGAGAGGTTCATTATCCCAGGACTTGCTTGGTAACATCTGATGCACTATGGTGAGAAAGAGCAGTGGGGGATGATCCAGGCACAGGGGAAGCTGCAAAGTTGCCTGCTTTCCTTTGCCTCATTCCAGCTCTCCTTTTCTAATCCTCTTTTGCAAATCCTTACAGCATCGTGGCCTACAAACAAGTCCCAAGGGCACAAGGAGAGGGCGCGGAGAAATGAAGGAGCTGAAAACACCTCAATTACCAAGTTCTGCTCATGAAACCCAAATTCCAGCCTTGCCATGGCCTGCTGACACCCTTAGGTTCCTGGTAGGAGGGAAAATCAGTTTCTGGGTATTGGAGGAAAGGCAGAGGTTAGGGTCTGGGGTACCAGCTGCTTGCACCGGCATTCTAGGTCTTGGAGGGGTTCAGGCTCCATTCAGCTAGCCTTTCTTCTTCCATCACTGTCTTAAGGGTTCCAATCAAGGGATAGCAAGCCACACGTGCACAGTGCTAGAGGTTCTGTGGAAGACTTAAGCCCAAGGGGGAATGAACATGAAATGGACATTTTGTAAAATCTGACATTTTTGTACGAATAATAATAGTTTTCAAGTTAATGTAAAATCTTGAAAAAAAAATCAGTTTTCTTGGTTGAGTCTTCCTCGGCTAGGAACAAGAGAGCAACAAAGTTCATGGCAGTGTTAACACTGTTGCTTTTAGGAAGCTCAGTTGGTGGAGTGCTTACCTAGCAAGTACTGATTCCTGGCTTAGAACCTCAACACCTCATAAATCAGGCATGGCCGTGCACAGCTGAAGTTCCAGCACTCGAGAGGCTGAGGCAGAAGGATCAGAACTTTAAGGCTATCCTTAGCTATACTGTAGTCTGAGGCCACCAGGAATACATAAAGTCCTGCCTCAAAGAAACGAACCCAGCAACAACATCAAAATCCAGCAAGGACCAGTGAACTATGCAGTGGGACACTTCCAATCATCACTTTCTTGGGCGGATGGTGTGAAGTCGGGATGTCTGGCATCAGCTTTTCTGAGTTACTTATTCTGATTGTCCCTTTCGCTCCGAATAAAATCAAAGTTTACATTGTGAGTTCAAATCCTTCTTTTCTGGACGGGACCCCCGAAACTGCAGATGTGGCATTCTCAGGCTGGAGTGAATACAGTTTGTATCTGATTCCCTTGCAGGGAATGATCAAAACTTGTCTTCCCCCCTCCTCTCTTCCAAGCTCAGTGCATTTCCAACCCCATCCTCTTCCTTCTGTCCTTGCCTCTTTAACTCTTAGGTGCCAGAAGCCCCCTTTGGTTCTTCAATACTCTAAATTTCCCCCACAGACTCCAGAATTTTTCCAACACCTGAGTCAACACCTCCAGCTCCTTATTTCCCTCCATTCACCATTTAAGATTACTGTATCTATCCTCTCTTTCCTGACTGAATAGCATCACGTCCACCTCCCAGGTCTTCAGGCTCCAAATCACCTCTGACCTAGTCCCCTTTCTCAAAGTTATCTCTTAAATCCAGCTGCCCCATTACAACCTCTTCCTTTTTTTTTTTTTTTAAATCACTTCTTGCTTTGGTTTAAGAAAAGATTTTTATAACGTGTGTGTGTATGTGTGTGTGTGTGTGTTACCATATGGTCCCGAGGGTCAACCACCTTCACCTGCACAGCCATCTCGCCAGCTCTTGCCATGGCTTTAACTATTAATTTCTATTTATTTCATTCAGTCTGACCCCAACCCCCAGCATCTGACCTTTGTACCTTTTAAAATGAGAAGGTAGAAGGTATATAAATGCTCCTTTAAAAAAATAGCTAAGCATATAGAAAAAGCTTACTCATTAATATTTAACTTGGGGGGCTGGAGAGACGGCTCAGTGGTTAAGAGCACTGGCTGGCTGCTCTTCTAGATGTCCAGCAGTCACATGGTGGCTCATGACCATCTGTAATGAGATCTGGTGCTTTCTTCTGGCCTGCAGACATACGTGCATACTGTATACAAAATAAATAAATCTCTAAAAAATATTTAACTTGGACATATTTAAACATCTTCCATAAGGGCTGTCACAGTGCTCACCAGACAGGTGCTTTGTGTACACAATGACTAGTTAGTCAAAAACCCTACAGCGAAGGCTTTCCTGCACTTCAAAAGTCACAGTACTGAAAGCTCAGAGATGTAACTCCTAGAATCAGTTATGAAATGAGACAATGGAGTTTAAGTCTCAAATCTCTTTATTCCATCTTGCTGCCCCATTTTATATCACTGTAGTATTGGATTAATGGTACTGGATTAATCAAATAATTATCATTAAATCCAGAATCATTAGGGCGTCCATTTCTGAGGTCTGGCATGCCTAACTATCAAGCCTTGGTTGACAGGACTCAGACTCAGAGATCTGTCGGCTTCTACCTCCCATGTGCTAGGATCAAAGGTGTGTGCACCAAGTTCAGCTTCATTTTAAATTACATGTACATGCGTTGAGTGGGAATGTGCATGTGAGAAGGCTGAAGGCTCCAAGAATAAGAATATAAAAATGTATATTCCAGAAATAAGAATGTAGAAATAAAGAAATGTAAAGTTGTAAGCCTAGGAGAATGAGAACAGACTGTCTCTCAGCAGCTTAAGGATGAACTATTAACAGCGGGCTACTCTGCTTTACAACCCAGAGCTCTCTTCACAAGGCCAAAGTATCTCTCGGCAAACTGAGAGCTAGCCTACGGATGGATATGAGCTGAGTCAACTTTTAGGAGATAGATCTATGACCTCTGGGTTACACATTATCCCTGCTATATGAAACTGGCAGCACCAAAGGGGAGAGCACAGGGCTTCAGTAAACACTACCCGGAAGTACCAAGGAAGACAATAGATTAAATACAAACACTAGTTTAACTGAAAAACTCTGTTAATGGAGATTGTAAAGTAAGGCAATCTGTATCTGAGTTTTACCTCGAGATTGTAGAAATTTCTTTGTTCAGACCTAATGCTTGGTGTCCCTACTATAAAAAGGTAGGTTCAGAAACCAGCCTTTGCTACAACCTTACAAAATTCATCTCTGGCTGTGGTCTCAGCTAGCTGATAAGCTTTTTGTGCCCCATGGAGATTTTTAATTTAATTTTTTCCTGGAATCTGGTTTCTGGATTAAAGTTCACTTCTGGTTTATTAGACTTTGGTGGTCTGTCCCCATCTTTGGATGACCCCCCTGGGCCCAACAAAGGCAAAGGCGGTCCTGTGGAGCAGGAGTTACATGTGGTTGTGAGCTACCAGACACAGGTACTGGGAACTGAATTGTGGCCATTCTCCTCAAAATCACTCTCATAAACCACAGGCATTCCTTTTCTTGAAAATGCCTCTCAAACATGGCAGGAAAACAAAAACAAAGCAAGAATCAAGAATTGGCTGCCAGAGTGGGAAAAATCATCTCACTGATACTATAGTATACAGTGTTTCCATCTCCCCGACTGCAGCAGGACCTACCGTGAAGTGAACAGGAAGGATAAGTGTGTACTTACGTTTGCCTTTTCTTACTACCCTGCAAGAAATGTCCCGATTCTCATAAGCAAATTCTCATCTGTTCAGAGAAACTTTTAAAAACCCGGAAAGATAGGCATCTCATTTTCAGGTCCTAACATACAAATGAGCACATGATCCAGGATAAATAAAGCATCTTTTATAGGTTTATTGGTCCATTGCTTTAAGTGAGGTAAAGATTTTTTTTTAATTTACAAGCTAATAGTTCATCAAGCAATACAAATTCTTTGTTTACCTCAAAATGTAATACTAATTCCATAGTAAACAACAAACAGAATTTCTTACACACAGATACATGAAAAATCAAAGCGGACAAGAACCTCGAGCCAGCATAAAAAATACAACAAAACATCTCTGGTTCTGTAACAAAGAGAAAGGTGACATTCTTTTTCGGTAGTTTCATGAGACAAAGACTTAGTTCTGTAAATAAATCACTTTCTTGTCAACACATATTCCCTCAAGCACTTATGTTCACAGCTTTTGTTTTGGTTTAATGGCAGCAGAGAGAGAGCCAGCACACCAGGGTGGGACTCCATTCCTCAGAAGCCTGTTTCTTTCTCTGGAAGTTTTAAACACAAAGAACAATTTCTAAAAAAGTCCAAATATTTGTTTTCATGCCCCTTGAAGAGTTAGAATGAGAGTTAGAAGGTTTGCTGGCAGTTTGCTTCATGGGAGTCAGATGTAGGCTGTCTCTCCGTGCGTTCCTGACGCAGGCACACGGAAATACAATGAGCAGGGACTCTGAGGGAGCCCAGCCCGGCAGGCCTAGGTGGGCAGTGCTGACTGGAAGAGACGCTGGCTTGTGCTGATTTGTTCCTGGATGAAGGCCCAGTGGACACAGCTCCCTCTCCTTCCCTCCAGCATTGTTCCTGGCAGAGTGCCAGTCTAAGGCTGTGGCCCAGCCTGTTCAACAGCAGTGTGCACAGGTGTTAGCTGCTCTGACCTGGACCGTGGAGAGCCCAGAATCACCCAATACTTGGGCGGTACTTCTGGGAGAGGCACATTTGGACCCTTCAACACTGGCTTTAGTAGGGAGTGAGTTGGCAGAACAGGTAAGCTATTTGGCATTTCAACCTCTGGAGAATTTCTATCCCAGTGTGCTCTGAGACCACTCTGAAGAGGCAAGGCAAGCCTTTCATGCTGCCATAATCTGGAGGGTTCTCTGAAGCTATGCAATTTGTCACTGCTGATAATGTCGGTATCCTCCACACCCCAACTAGGCCAAAGCACACTAAGCTTGTCTTTCTCCCTCAAAAACATCAAAATGGGCTGTGCTCCCTGTTTCTTGACATTATTTTCAAATACCATTTGCCAACAGAAATATTTATTTAGTCTTGCTTCCCAAAAGGCCACCCTCCTTCTGTGACCTATACCTCTGGCTTGTGACTTTAAGAGGACTGAAGATGGCCCATAATAAGTTTCTAGACCAACTGCTTCTACACGTAAAACTCTTTCTATGCCAACACTTTAAAACACTAGTAAGGCAATTAGTGGGTACTGACAACTGTTTAAGAACTACTGTTATGCTTTTAACAGTCTGTGGCTTTTTCTGGGTAGGTTGGTTTTCAAGTGCTAAGAACACCGATGTATGATACACATCTTATTCGTCTCTTTAAAAGTTTCCCCACCCACGGCGCTTATTTACAAACTACAATAGTTAAGAACTAGTAACATTTTTTTTTTTTGCCACACATAAAGTATTGGATAGTCAGTCATACCCAGGAATATTCCAAACAGATATGATTAAGAGAGAATGGTCAGCCCTGTAACAGTGCCTCCAGCCTTCTCAGACACCGAGTTCCTGTCCTCTGATGTGTACAACCATGGGGGCACCTTCAAAACGGAACACTGACGACCTACAGAGCAGGCTGGTAAAAACCGAGTCCCCCATTAGTCGCTAAATTAAAAACAGGGAGGAAGCAGGCAGCCCCAGCACACCGACTGCACCTCTATTTGGTCATTTTCCTCAACTCTACTGCTAAGTGCCACCTGCTACCTGAGCAGAGCAAGTCACAGGTCATAAGAAGGCACATGCAATCTGTTGTCATCCTGAAGACTCTTGAGAGCGAGATGGCAAGCCCAAATTCCCAACGTAATTTGTAAATGAAGGTGAGCAAAGTCCCCTAGCCATGTGCTTACCTTACTTCATTTCCAAATACCCTTTATGAGAAGATGGGGTCCAGAAGGGGCCCAGCCCCAGGAGCTGATCCTCCATAAGAATCACCCTTCATGGTCGCCAGCTCCACCTAGCCTGAGAAGAGCCCACCTCCAGCTGACTCCAAGACCCAAGCCAGTAGTGTCAACACAGTCTCTAAGGCAGTCCTTGGCTTTGTTCTACCCACCCCAACCCGCTCAGGATAGTGCAGTATAGTGCCCTTACCATGGCTCAGATGACCTCACTGAAACAACCAGCTACCTAGTACCTAGAGCTTCAGAAGGTCCTGCCTTCACAGGACAGGACCAAAGCCTAGAGGCTGAGTGTTCTTTTGGTGCTATTCTAAGAGAAGCATGGCCATTACGCTCACTTCTAAAGTCAGAACTTCCATCGGGCCTCACCAAGGACTGCAGTATGCATGGACAGTTTCTTCCCGTGGACAGCAGAAAGAGTACATTCTACTCAACACCTAGAGCACACTCCACGGGGTTCACATCTGTCCCCAAGCACAGTGGGGCTTTCTTGTTTCAGCTATGGGAAAATGCCTGGTGAGTTCAGAAGAAGCCTGGTGAAGCACCAAGCCCACTGCCTCCCCTGCCTACTTTCCACTCACCAGCAATCATTACTGAACCCGAGGAGAGGATAAAACCCAACCCCACAGAGGCTGAGGAGGGAGCCCCTCCTTACTCCTTGCTTTGAGAACAGCAGCTCCGATTCTTCTTGTAAATTGTCAGCATCAATAGTATCCTTTCCTACTACAAACTACGACACTGCCCTAAACTCTTGCATCTCTCCAATCTCCTTGGTTTTAAGAACTCTTCTCTTGCCTGGGCAGATCTCTAACACAGGGAAGAAACCCTCCACCTCTCAGGACCGGGCAGTCATGGGGCCAACGTTCACTTCACTGTCCCGTGTTCAAGCCTCCAAAGCTATCCATGTCTCTCTACCTGAGTACAGTGCTCTGCCCTCAAGGCAAAGTCTCATGGGAAATAAACAAGAGGGATCCGTGACTTCATGGCAGAGGCTTCAGAAGGAACGAATGAGGCCTCTCTAAGGCCTTTTGGCACTGTAGTCTCTGAGCAGTATTTCGTGGGGGAATCTCTTTTGGGCTTGGCCAAGAGGAAGCAAATGCTTGGGACTGCTGAGCTTCCGGGGACTCGAGGGAGCCCCAGAGGAGGCGGGTAGGAGCCTCTTTCCTGTGTACTGCACCTTCTCTTCTGGGCCAGATGCTAGCCTGAAGACAGGGACAAGAGTGCCTTCTTGTGCATGGCTGTTCCTGGCTTAGCCACTGACATCATTTCTAGGGGACAGAAAGTTTCCATTATCCCAGCTCTTTCTGGAATCTCAAAGTCTAGGGACATTGCTTGCTGGCCAAATAAATAGAAGACAGAAATTTCAAGATGCCGTAAAAGCCAGCCTCTCGTGAGGGAATGGCTGTGGATCCTGCTTCCCTCCCCGTTTACTTCTCCTGCAGCCCAGGGCTGTTTTCACAGGCTTCCTTCTTGTGTAGCTAACCAGCACACAGGATTGACTTGGGGTTTCTGCAACCAGCTCGTCATCAAATTTTAGCTTCTCCTTAATTCTTTCCGTAGTTCTTGCCAAACATCATTATGCTGGACACTTAGCAAGGGCACAGTCCACAAAGCCAAGTTTCATGTTTCCCAAAGATGAACATCACTGCTGGGCCAGCTTGGTGTCTGCTGACATCTAACAATGGAGACCTGCCGGTGACTGGACACACGCCCTGACTCTACCAGCACACTCAGGTTGACTCTGGGCATTTACACCCACACCAACCTGATGGCTTCGGAGGTAGAATGAGATTCCAGGCCACTGAAGTTTGGAGTGGACAGACTGTTCTTACCTTTCCACTCCAGCGGGCCATTTCTATTTGTACCAAACAGAATTCACATCAAAGGAGTTCAGGATGGCACAGAGGGGGTTTGGGCAAGTACCAAGAGTTGCAGAAACTATTATTTCAATCACAAATTTGTCAAATATGAGGAAAAGGCAAATTGTTTCATGCTGTCTAGCTGCTGTCCATGATGGAGGCCAGCTCTGCGCGAGGGAAGGGAGGCTTCAGCACGCGGTGCGCTGATTAGAATTTGCAAATAACTTGTATGTGAAGCAGCAGCACGACTGCTTCATTCTAAAAACAGACAGAACCCTTCCATTCACCCGAGCTCGGATTCTAAAAACAGACAGAACCCTTCCATTCACCCGAGCTCGGATTCTAAAAACAGACAGAACCCTTCCATTCACCCGAGCTCGGATTCTAAAAACAGACAGAACCCTTCCATTCACCCGAGCTCGGATTCTAAAAACAGACAGAACCCTTCCATTTACCCGAGCTCAGATTTATGCGTTTGAAAGAACACACTCTGCAGCTGCTTTTCATCAATGGCCTGAAAAAGAGCCTTTCCAACTGCTGGATTTATGGCAACTTGAAAAGTTTCGAATAAAGACTTTAAGCACAGCCAGCGGTCTCGGATCTGGGCAGCAGATGGAGATCCCACACATCTAGAAGCAAAGAGCATGCTGTCACGCTCATCTCTGAGCGCCCTGCAGATGCTTTCGTCCTGACCACAGAATTCTGAGTGTTAGACACTCATGGAGAACATTCATACTGAATTTACAAACTGGTGACAGTCATGACAATGTGACATACCAGCCCTCACTGCAAGGTTGCCCAGATATTCAGTGGGCATGACAGGAAGTATTAAACCAGACATTTTTGGTGAAGTAAAGGCAAATTGCATAAAGCAGACACTGGGACTGGGGCTTGGCACACAGGAGAATCGCTGACCATAAAATAGCAGCTGTTTCCTAAGAGGTCTAAGAGCAACCACGACAATGGTTAAACAAGCAAAACAAGCACATTACACCTTCACAAAGAAAAATGCACCTTTTTTGCCAATTCACACTGAAAAGCTTCTCATCTATAGCACTGTGGTGCCAGAAACAAGATCCAGGAGCATTCCCTTCAGCTTCCTGAGGCATGGCATAAGGACGAGGACGCTGGCTCAAGCACTGGTGCACACGGACACTGATTTAAATGGACCCATGTGAACCAGAAACAAGTCAAAAGATGCCACTCATGATGAGCAGGCAGTAGGCCACAGTCACTGTAAATTAAGGACTTTCCACGAAGGTACCTAACCTCCTATGCTGGGACAGGTCAATGCCCTCAGGGGTAAAGTGCAGAACCACATGGTCTCCACAGCAAGCCACAGCTGCCTTCTTCATGTCTCCTGTGTCCCTGAAAAGCAAGGTTCTTGTTCTGTCTCACAAAAGCAATTGGGCTGCCCCCAAGTGATGTCACATGTCATCTGGGAGCTGTTCTGTCCCTTAGTTTCAAGTCTTCGTAGTGTTCCACTTAGGAGGTTCCGTCACAATATGGAGGTATGCTTCTGTTGAGAGATGATTACAGACTCACAGGCTCCACCAAGGAATAAATACTAAACTGAAAAACAACTGTGGGGGAGGGGAGGGGGAAAGTACACAAACGGGAGGTGTTGTTGTGCTGTGTTCTCACGGCCACCTCTCCGGCACTGCAGGGACACTCTGGTTCAGGGTGCCATGCCCTGTGAAGGCAGAAGAGTCTCTGTCCCAAGAACAGATCTACTTGGTCTCTTGTTTTTCTTGCAGTAGCGGAATAATTGACTCCCACGCCATGAGGCACTGAAACGACAACATCCACACAAGGTCAGCTGCTGAACGCCACTCTGCCAACCCTGATCCTGCTGGGTCACCTTTGTCCAGTGGCACCTACCTGTGTTGTCAATACTATTACCAACAGAGGAAGTGACAAGTGTTTGTCTGGAATGTGTCACCCCATCTTTATGAAAGAACAATGTCCTCCCAAGGCTTGCATGCATTCGTGAGAGTGTGAAGCCTATACCAGGGAGTGGACATGGATCTACTCTAAGAAAATCTTTCCTTCGACTAAGCCAACACTAGACCAGGCAGGAAACTCCTGATGAGGACACCGGTTCTGAGCACCCATGGAGACACTGTTGGAGGCTTGGGTGGGGCTTGTACAAGGATGTAAACACGAAAACCCAGCCACCTGAGTCAGGGTGGGTGGAAAACCTGCTCTGATTCACCGACCTGAAGCTTGGGTTGCTTGTTTGTGTCACTCTTAGATCCCCACAGAATGGGGAGAAAGGAGTCCAACAATTCCTACAGTTATTTCTGTTTATGTGAAGGTGGGGTACATGTACCATGACATTTGTATGGATGTCAGAACAACCTTAAGGGGTCAGTTCTCTCCTTCCACCACGTGGGTTCCAGGGATCAAATCCAGGCTGTCAGGCTTGGCAGCAAGTACGCAATCTCACTGGCCCAACTACCAGGTTTAATTAGACCCATACACTGTCATGTATTTTATGTTCGCTGTTACACAGTTTGTAGTCAGAACATGGATACAAACTGATAATCCTTTCTCTTCATTCCAGGCCCTTGTGAGAGGCCAAGAATTTAGAAGACTTGGGGCACTGCCTCTGAGAGTGGCTGGCTCAGCAGCCACATCCTCCCTAAGAAAAGCCTCTGTAACAGACAGCCTTGGGGTAAAGGAGGACTGTGTGCTGAGTCACCTGGGGAGGAGTTCTGCAGAGGTGGGAGGGAGGAGAGAGGCATCAGGTCGGGCAGAAAGAGGAGTGGTGAAACTTCTCCCTGGTACCTTCCTGGACGACTCAGAAGCCTGTCCTAAATACAGAAAGACTAGGCGGCCTCAGGAGCTTGTTCCAGTAATGACCCTGAAGGCCATAGGATTCCAAACTCTCCTATCTACAAGACTCTCTCTGCATGTCCCAAAAGGAATCATGACTGATCAAACTTTCACTCTGGTTCTCAAATGTGTCATCTCTTTTCTTGCTCAGGGACCTTGCATATGTTGTACCCTACAGTACACGTTTGTCAGACCTTTGGCTCTAAGGATCAGAATAAATGTGACTTCCATAGACTGGTCTATCCCACTGATAGACTGAGGATGCCTAGAGGGCTGTGCAAATCCTGCTGTTTATCAGCTTTGTAAACAATCCTTTGCACACAAAAGAGTACAGGAAAAAATGTCAAATACATGTAGAAGCCAAGACCAGGCCTCAAGACCGTCACCCTATTTATGGTACAACGGGAAGAAACAGGCAGAGACCCGAGTTTGCATTCTGGGATTAGAGATGGCAGATTCACCCACAACAGGCATGGAGACACTGAACCTGGCTGCCTTTAGACTGGGAAGGAAGAACAGCAAGGTAATTTTTATTGACTGTTTGCCAAATGCTGAGTATGTTCTGGAAACCTGAATGAGCATTTTACTTTATCTTTATAATCATTCCATAAAAATGATTAGCATTTACAAATCAAGAACAAGAGAGATGAGCAGGGGTCTTGCTAACACACAGCTAGCAGGAGAAGCATCTTGTAGGAAGCAAGGCTGTTTCTGAAAGTGTGTGACTACTGTCTCCTAAGCTGATTGTGTGTGAGGACAATCCAAACTACGGTTCTGTCAGTTAGATGCTTGTAGTTTGGTACTCAAAGGGCGGGTCAGCTTGGGAGGACTTTTTAAACCTCTGTGAGTATTGGTTTCTTTAGCTTTAAATTGAAAATCATAAAATCTTTGTCACATCAGGTGACATGAACACATGGCTTGGGTCCTGGAACCCTGACTAGGGGTGACAAAGAAGAAAGGACAGACATACAGACACACATGCAGCAAAGCTGGGATCACTCTAATAGAGGGCTCCTACTGCCAGCAACATGGAACCTCAATGTTAGGTTCCGCATAGGGAGAGGTTTTAGCTAGTATCTGTAGATCTCTGTAGCAGTAGTCTCAGGCTGGAAACACCTGGGAGGAGGATGCTACAATTCTAGTCTTTGCAACACCCTGATTAATTGTTCAAAAACATTCACACTCAGACCCTAGGAAGCTCTACTATCCCTCTGGAGCCAGGATTTGCCGGTTTCCCATGGGCCAGAGGCCTTGGAGGCCTCGAAATGGGTCAACAACACATATTCACTCAGACACTCACTCACTCAAGCCCTCACACACACACTCAGGCCCTCACATACTCAGGTCCTCACACACACACTCAGGCCCTCACATACTCAGGCCCTCACACACACACTCAGGCCCTCACACACACACTCAGGTCCTCACACACTCAGGCCCTCACACACACACTCAGGCCCTCACACACACACTCAGGCCCTCACACAATTAGGCCCTCACACACTCAGGCCCTCACATACACACTCAGGCTCTCACTCCCTCAGGCCTTCCTCCGATGCCCACACCTTGTGGCCATGATGGAGTTCAATTTAATGAGCTGGCCCATTATCCAGGGACGACCCAGTTCAGAAACAATGCACTCCAGAAAAAGGGCAGGTAAAGATGGAGGGCACCCATCTCCCCCAACTCTCAGCTGTATTTCCTTGGTTTTCCTTTGGTAAGCCAGGAAAAGTACAGGCATACCACCTAAAAGCAGTCGCCACAATCATCAAAGCCTCTACCAAAGCCTAGGCCAAGGACGCGTCCTAGGGCTACAAGCTAGGAGATATGCCTGAACCTATCACTTCCACAGGAGAGAGGCTGCCTGGGCTCCAACAGCTCAACTTCAAGGCCACAAGTTATTCCAACTGAACTTAGGCCATTGTTTAACTCTAAGTGTAGTCTACAAAAGACAAGACTCACTACCAGAATCAACTTCATTAGATACATTAGGCGTGAACCTTGATTTGAGGAGATGGGCCTCTCTCTCGTACCCTCCCATCCCATGTGTGTGTGTGTGTGTGTGTGTGTGTGAATAGAAATGTTTAACCTGAGGTCCACAGGTCAAGAGGATGCAAGAATAAAAACTTTCCTAATAGCATTGTTTTCCCGTCTAATTCCATACAGCTTTATTTTAGGTATTTACAAAGAGAATTAGAAACAAACAAGGTCTTCATAAGATGTCTATCAGCCTCAGTAGATGACTAAAGGGGGTCCATGGTATAGTGAAAATAAAGAAAACTTTATGTGGAACCCCAAAGCCTCCATAAACTGGGGGTAGCCATGTGCTGGTCTCACTGGCTCTGGGAAGCAGCCACACACTCCAGCAGTGTGTAAGAGGCGTGCATGAGAACTGCCTCTCTGCTTTGAAACCCAGCCCTGCTCGGCCAGGGCGCTCGGGATAGCTCACACGCAAGTTAGGGATGGGACAAGGGGGATCATGCTTTGGAGTTTCTGGAAGACTCACCACCCCCACGAAAGGCTCTGGCCTCTAGAAACCACAGTCACATGGGCTGCTTCTCACCTTCTCATAATACTGGATATTCTTGTCAGCCAAGCCCACGAGCAGCTGCCGGAAGTCATGTCGCTTGCTGCCCTGCCACCTCTCCATGTCAGCCTTAAGGTCAGCATTGAAGCACTCCATCCTATCCTGGCACTTCTCCACATCTGCCGGCACCTGGAGTGGAAATAGATTCGTGGCTTTTAAGTACAATTGGTTTCTCCTACTGTGAATTACTCTTCAAACATTTGTAGGGAGCCAAAGTGCTAAACTAAAATGTCCCTGGAAAGCAGAGGCTTGGAAGTGTTTGCAAAACGCAAACATCATCCCACGCATTAACAGAGCAGAGACACATGGGAAACCACTCCTCTGGCTCCATCTGCAAATGGGAAAGAAACTCCCTGCAATCAAGTAGAGACCTGGGATCCTGTTAGGATTTACGCTTCCATGCTGACAAACGGGGCAGACTTTGTACATACAGCAGCAGTTTCTGCGCACAGTCCTGCATCGTTCCGGGGTTTCTTGGGTCACGGGATGCCTTTCCTCACACATCTGAGTTAACTGTAAAAATGAAGCTACCAGCCAGCTCCCTCCTCTAAACTCCACATCATAAATAAACCGGGTTACTTCTGCACTCTAGGTGGCAGAGAATCAGAAAGTCCGAGAACGGAAGGAAAATCGTTGACGGTGTCAAAAGAATTTGAAGCATAATAATAGCAGGTGGCTTCAAGTATTTCTTAGTTTAGGAAGACTTTCTCCAAAGGAAGTGTGTCCCCTGGGATTCATGACCTTCACTTTGCTGCAGGGAGTTGCACTTATCACACAGGGTTAGCGAGGGCCTCCTGGTCATGATGGTTTTCCAAAGTCAGATTTTTCAGTTTTATCTCTAGTGCTGCATTGGGCCCATATAGTGGTCAGGGCTCAACATGCCCAAGCTAGGTCAACACTTGCCAGAAACAAATGAGATTTTTCAAGGTTTTAAGTCCATAGACCAATGAGCACAAATGTCCCCAAGTTACAGGAGTAACTATGGAGAGCCAGTTTCTATCCACCAAAAATGTAGACATGGCAAGAACAGGGCTGCTCAACTATACGGATGCTGACATCTGACACCCAGGTTTGCAGGGAGGTGACACTGTGGCTCTGTTTCTTGTTTGTGTGTTTTTGTGACAACTGACTGATGAGTAACATCTAGTATTCCTTATTGTTAGTCATGCTCCTTGTGTCTGTCAGACATCAGGATGGCAATATCCAAGGAAAATGGTTGGATGTTTTCTATCATAAGATTCAAAAGACTGGGGGCTGAGTCACCTGCTAAGGCCCCAGGTGGCAAAAATGTCTGAATCAAGGGTAAGCTGTTGTTCCCACAAAGGCTCCTCCATGTCTGGTAAGAAAGTCTTTCAGAGAAGGCTCAGGTGTGATAGCATGGGGGCTTGAATATCCACACAGGACCTGAGAAAGCTTTTGAAAAAGGTTCCAAGCACACAAACACAGAGCCAGACATGGCTTCTTGGCCCTACAGCCTCTCAGGCTGGCCAAGGTCACTGCCTGCAGGCCCGAGTCAGCCAGGATCACGTGTGGAGCTGCGCGATGGGTTTAAAGCTTGGCTCAAGGGTCAGAGAAGGCTGCAGGCCTGCAGTGAAGTGGTCCAGACCGAGAAAACACTTTAAACAGATACAGTAAAAAATAGGTATGGATGGTCATAGGAAAAAAATAGTTTAAAAATAGTAAAGTCTTTAAAGAGAGAGTAATATAGAAGAAAAAAGACACATAGAGATGGGAAACACACGGGGCCTCTGGATCTGGCATGTTTTGTTGACTTTAGATTTTTTAAATATTGATGAGCAAATGGCAGCGGAGACACTGGATTATGAAGGACGGCTGAACTAAACCACTCTCTGTACCTTAGGGAAGTCTTAGCTTCAGAATGGAAGTCAGGACATGTTTTAGGTTGGGGGGGGGGCGTGTTATGGATTTGTTTTAATAGGAAACAAAAAGTTATGGCTCTCTTTAAAATTAATGAAGATCAAATATGATTGGGGGAGACCTCCTACAATTCATAGCTACAGACATGAAGAAAGAAACCAAGAAAGACTACAGGACAGGTGACAGATATGCTGATCCCTCTACTGTGGGAGCAGCTCTGAGACTGGAGACTGATACATCTTGCCGGCTACAGAGTTCTCAGGACTTATTATTACATGCCTTCCTTTCATATGACATGAATAGAGGTTTGGTTCTACAGTCTAAACAAACTTATAAAGTTAACAGAAGCCCTTTTCCTGATAAAACATAAAACAAAAAAGTCATCTTTAACTGTCTTGTGCACACTGTACATTCCATACTTGTGTTAATATACATACATGTTATCTTTAAAATGATGTGGGATTCCCCTTTGTATATGTGAATATGTTTTTATTACTCTTAGTTAATAAAGAAGCTGCTTTGGCCCATGGCAAGGCAGAATAAAGTCAGGCAGGAAATCCAGAGATATATAGAGCAGGTGGAGTCAAAAGGACGCCATGTAGCTGTTGAAGGAGAAAGATGCCGGAACCTTATAGGTAGGCCACACCCTCGTGGCAATACATAGATTGATAGATTGGTTAATTTAAGAGCTGCTTAGAAATATGCCCAAGCCATCGGCCAAATAGTGTTTCTATATAATTAATACAGTTCCTGTGTGGTTATTTGGGTCTGGGTGGCTGGGAAACGGAAGCGCAATCTTCACTTACATTAAAAGTTGGTGTTTTCAGAAAAACAGGACCAGATACCAATAAAGACAAGCAGCCCACGTGATCTAGTCTCTCAGAATGGCGCCAGACTCTTCAGACGAGCTCTCCCAAGACTTGGCCATCACCCTAATTCTCTCAGCGTCCCCTAAAGATGCCTTTGCCCCCAGACAAGGAAGCAGAGCATAACACTTACATTCCCAAGAGGAAGGGTGGGTGAGTTTTGGTCATTTGGTGGTTTATGGATGTTTGACATCACTTGGGGTCCTGGTTACAAGTTGTTATTAGTAATGGTTAGAAAAAAAGCTAAAGGAAGATTAGATTCAGGGATGTCTTTCTGAAGGGAAAAGGGTGGATATAGTATAGAAATGATAGAATAAAAGGGTGGATTGTTGAATCTACTTTTGAACAACTACTACCCTCAAATATCTTATATTGATATAGATTTTTGTATTTTGATACAAATTTAAGATTATTCTTGTTATACTGAATTTATGTTTCTACTCTTGTTTAAGGTATTATACTTATGCAGCTTAGTTAAATATATAATGTAAAGTTTTAGTCCTCGAAAGCTAATTTAGGATAATAAAGACAGGCTAGTACTTAGTCATCTATAACAATCAAACTTTTAATTCTGCTAGGCATGCTGTCAAGGTCAGAGGCATACTTTAAAAAGATAGACGGTTTAAAAAAGCACTTCAAAGGTCTACAGAATATGACATTTAAAATGCTTTAATAACATAAGGCTTTTCATGACAGTGAGGCATGTCTGCTCCTGGCAGCACCAATCTACTTCAAAAAAGGAAAATGAGCATCTAAGAACCTCCATATAGAGTTTGATTTCAATGTGGAAAAGCTAGCCATTTGGGCAAAAAACTACCCTTGCCTCAACTGCTGACAGTATGCTGTCCAGACTGGACAAGCAGGGAACAAAAGAAAATGAGTAACAAACAAAACTTAGCCAAGACAAGGTAGGACAGTCCTTCAAAATTCCTGCTTCACAGAAAAGTCTGTCAGATAATCTAGGCCTGTAGGCTGAAGACAGATGCTCCACCATTACAGAGGAACCTTGGGTGACCAAAGTTCTCTGCTGTTTCTTTAATTTTAGAAGTTGTTCACTCTACACTTCCTGTTTACTCAAGTAATATTTTATCCTTCTTGGGTCTTTGATAGGGTTGAGGACTAGATAGTTATAGTTTTACAGTTTTCCTTGTTACCAAATTCAGAAAAAATACTTACATTATAAGTATACCGTTTTTTAAGGCTGAAAACATAAAAACTTAAGTTGTTTATCAAATGATGTGGGAAGTCCTTCTTTATATGTGTTGCTTTTATTGGTTAATGAATAATAAAGCTGCTTTGGGCCTATTATAGTGTAGAAGCTGACAAGGCAGGAATACCAAGCGGACAGAGAAGAGAGCAGGCGGAGCCAGGGAGAAGCCATGGAGCAGGAGACAGACGGGCCAGAACCTTGCCAATAAACCAGGAGCCTCGTGATAAAATATAAAATAATTTTAAGATATTAGACCTAGCCAGCAATATGCTTAAGTGATTGGCCAAGCAGTGTTTTAATTAATACAGTTTTGTGTAATTATTTCGGGTCTGAGCGGCCAGGAAACAAACGAGTGACCTCCTCTAACATTCAAAACTATGTTTTAAGGTCTAAAAAGATATTTTTAGGATCATAATACAAGTTATGATAGAAAGTGGTATAGGTATAAAATTTTAGACTCACTAAGATTGAATAGAAATACAGTAGCCTCTCCAAATTTGCCAAATACAAATGAACTGGACATTGTGGATATAATTCTTTTTTTAAAGAGATGTTGCATTTTTTAAAAGATTTAATTATTTATTACATATACAGTGTTCTATCTGCATGTATTCTTATAGGCCAGAAGAGGGCACCAGATCTCATTATGGCTGTGAGCCATCATGTGGTTGCTGGGAATTGAACTTAGGACCTCTGGGAGCACAGCCAGTGCTCTTAACTGCTGAGCCATCCTTCCAGCCTCATGAATATAATTCTTACCTAATAATTGTTCTTAATGTATATAGTTTTACTGTGTTAGAGTTGCAACCTTTCCTTTTTATTTAGACAAAAGGGGGAAATGTGGGAAATTTTACACTGTGTGAAGATGTATTGCTGTGATTATTGTAATAAAAAGCTGAATGGCCAATAGCTAGACAGGAGGATTTCTGGGGAGAGAAAGGAAGAGGCACACAGGAGATACTGAGAGGAAACAGGAGGGTCAAGATGGAAGAGGGGTAATGCCATGTGGTAGAATGTAGATTAATATAAATGGGCTAAGTTAGAGCTAGTTAGGATCAAGCCTAAGCTATAGGCCTTACTTTCATAATTATAAGAAATCTCCATGTCATTATTTGGGAGCTGGCTAGTTCCCATAGATCACTATAGTGACACATTAATCAACACGAGAGATGTGCACCTGTGCATGCTATGATGGCATACTGGGTACAGAAACATTTCTGTACATCTGTATCTGACATGCTAAGCAATTCACAGAACTGTTCTGTGACGGAATGGGATAAAAAAATACTGCCTCCTCTTTGGGACAGATTAGTAGCACAGTATCATGTGAAACATTTTTTTTTTTAAAGACACACACAAAGTCAAGGAGTGTTATCTCTGAAGTCTGGGTTTCAAACTCTCCAAATCTATTCCAGGGAGGGGTGGATAGATGACTAGTTTCGATGTTCAATTATCTGCCTGAACATTGGTCCCTACTATTATCTTTCTAATAATTCCCACCCCTTCTGTGAATACCACTGCAAATTCTAATCAAAAACAAGCAAAGAGAACAACATATGGGTAGTGGCAAGATTGCAACAGTGTCAGTGGGAGCCTGCAGCTTTCTGCCCAGCCTTTGTTGGGGGCTGGCCTGACCTTGGGACGATCTTCCTTTCTCAGAGCCACAGCTTCCAGTTTGGCTTCGTACTCAGCCTGAACTTGGTCCCTCTTCTTCAATACATTCTGTGGAAGGCAGAGAGAAACATGTTAACAGTCTGCAAAGGGCTCTCCAACTCCCAGCCCGAGACAGGGATTATGCTCCAAAAGCCGCACATAACACCATTTTCTGAGGAAAGGAGGAGGGGAGGAAGGAGAACCAATCCTGGAGATGGGGCTTTCCAGGGAAGAACACCAGATGTTGACAGCAACAGATTTTGGGAAGAGCAAGTGGGGGACACGTGCACCCATCACCACACTGCCCAGAGGCCTGAGCCTCTGTGTACAGAGAACGTTGGCAGATGCTGAGCTCTACGCTTAAATGCAGGGCAGTCTCTGGGTTCAGGGGAAAAAGAACAGTCAAAATAGTTCTTAATTGTAATTATTAATTTATATAATTGACAAAAATCATACATATTCATTTATTGTGTATGAATTGCTCTAAAATACATGCATATTATGATGTGGCTAAGCTGAGCTAATTAACAGACATCACCTTATGCTCGTTTTTTGTGGTGAGAGCATCTAAACCTGTTCTCAGCAATTTTCAGGAACTCACTAGCCAGCTACCATCACTCCATTACAGAGTAATTACAGATTTCCTGACGCCTTAGTCTGCCGGGCTGACCCCTGGTGCTGATTTGCCATCTGCGTATTCTCTATTTTGGGTCAGGTACAGGATGCAGAGGCTCAGTTCTCTGAGGGTTCACTCTGGAAAAGGTTCTGATGCATTCAAGGCTGGATGTACAAGAGTTCTGAGTCCCTGGGGAGCAGCCAATGGGCTCAGTGACAGTAGACCTGGGAGGAAGAGGCGAGGCAAGGCAGGTGCTCATGTTCTTCAGTCCACACCAACAAGTAGTACCGGACAGTGAGTAACACCTTGAGACTCTGCCCCAACTCACTTCCCTTCCTCCAATCTTATCCCTACAGTGCCAGACACAAGAGCTTGTAGGAAAAATAAAATAAAAAAAAAGCACATCTCAGTTCTTCCCCTGAACCTTTTTCTGGCATATTAAAAACTGGCAAACCACGTATGGTAAGGGCCTTCTTACCCACCGACTCAGAAGCAACAAGTTACCTAGACAATTTCTAATCACAGATTCTACACAGGGACCTTCCATCACAGCATGGAGTCAGGGCAGGAAGAACCCATTTCTGGACTAAGTGTGAGGCACTTGGTACCCCTGGGGATGTGTCCAAAGCTCCGAGTAACTAAATGCCTGAAGGTTCTCTACAGCCCATTTTCTAAAGGGAAACATCCACATCGGGAGCCCTACGTCTTCTACTGGAGAATTTACTTTGAAGAACATGTACTCTGCAACCATTCGTCCTCCGGGTGGGCTGGTCATCTTTCTCCTAAGGGCTCTGATGTTCACTCCCCACACTCACGAATGTCTCCAATGGAGCCTTCTGTTGCGATGGGAATGTTCTTTAACATCTGCCTATCGAGTACCTGACATAACATGTGGCTCATGTGAGTGAAGTAATGGATTTGTGTTCGTGTGTGTGTGTGCGCGTGCATGCGCACGCGTGTGTATGACAGTGAGAGAGAGAGAGAGAGAGAGAGAGAGAGAGAGAGAGAGAGAGAGAGAGAGAGAGAGAAAGCAGGTTCCTGCTCTTGCAAGAGCAGAGGTGTCAGATGCCTGAGTTATGGACAGTTGTGAGCACCGGATGTGGGTGGTGGAACCATAATTTGTGTCCTCTGTAAAAGCAGCATTGAGTCATTTCTCCAGCCCTGAAGTTTTCTTTCTTTCTTTAAATTTAAAGTTAAGTAAATAATTATATATGACAGTGGCTACCACACTGAATAGGCTAAATCTCTAACACAAGACAAAGGAAGGTAACAAGAACCTAGGATTTCTGATTTCACAAAGCCTAGGCTGCAGTCTACATCTACCTGCCTGGTACCAGGAGCACTGAAAATCACCCTCTCCGCCCAGGAGAACTAAACATGATACTGTCTGTGGGAGCGACGGCGTCCCATCCAGCGTCCACGTACTCCCCTTACAGAACGCTGCACATATTACTGGAAAAAGCAGGCATTTCCAGTCTAGCATTTCAAGGATTCAAGTCGCACAGACATGTACTGTTGGTGTGACCAGCATCTGAGAATCAATGTTCCTGAGAAAACGCCTTGTACTGCCAACCCAGTGTGTGGTTTTCTCTCCCTATTTTTATTATGTCTCTAGTTGAGGATGCCAAGACCCTTGAGAGGAGGGAAGTGAGAGAAGATTCATGCACCCTAGATGGCTACCATAGTCTAGAGGGCAACTAACTACTCATCCCATTCCACAAAGAGGGCAAGAGAAGCTCAGATCCAGTTAGTCTGGGTTGCTCTCTGTCCACGTCTCTGCCACCCAACCTCGCCTGGAGCAAATGGGATGCTCTCTTCAGGAGCAGTCTTGGGGGGCAGGGGGATCTGGGCTTGCATCCCAGAATCACGGGATAGCATAAAAGGCTCCTGACAAACGGGCGGAGGCAAAGGACATAGAGCCTACTGTCTAAATGAGGAGACTTGGCACGGTGACTGTGCAGAGCCTGTCTGAAGTCCCACTGCTGGGTAACAGGACGGCAGCAACTCAGTGTCCATCATCTTCTGTTTAGGGTTTCACAGCCCAACAACCCAGCCATGCTGAAGGTTGAGCACCTTCTAAGGGGAGCCCTCTACATAGTGCCGGCCATGTTAAGGATGGCTCGCCACTCCAAACACAGTCTCTGGAGTACGGTTGGTCAAGCCAGTTTATGGCTATTAGAGAGGGTTCATATGGGGATAAAAGAGTCAAGAAGCTCCATCTACAGAGAGGTACCCTGCCTCCAAAGAACAAACACAAGCCACCTGAGCCTCTCTAGGTAACACTAGCTTTCTCCCCCACTTCTGCCTCTCAAGCATCAAGTTCCATCATCAATCTAGGGGCAGAGAACAAAACAGTTTTGCCTTCATGGAGCTTCCATGCCAGACAAGAGACGAACAACAAACAAGTAAGCAGTACTGGATGCAGCACGAAGGAAAAGTAAAACGGGGACAAATATGGGAAGGACTGAGGATGTGAAGGACAGAGCTTCTCTTGGATGCCACTTTCAGAGGAAGAGCACTTCAGCAGGATTTTAAGCTGTCCTGATAATCTGGAACTTCACTGGTTTTCTGCTCAGATGAAGAGAAGGCTAAGGACTCAGTTCAGTTTTCACTTTTAACAAGAGAATTGTGAGGAAAAAGATGGAAAGAAATTTTAAAATATTTAAACCTTTCAATGAATATATATATATATATATATATATATATATATATATATTCTGATGGGTTTTGGAGGGAGGACTATAAAAATTGTGTAAGACAATTTGAGCAGTACTGGATATGAGACCATACTAAGAAACCGTTTTCTAAAATATCTGTGTATGTGTGGTTCATCGCATACCTATGTTCATGCACAGAGCCCAGAAAGGACACTGGTGTCTCCCTCTATCAGGCTCCACGTTATTCTCCTCAGATCCTGAGACAAGGTCTCTCACAGAACCTGGAGTTTATAGTTTTTTTGCACCTAGACTAATAACCATCTGGCAAGTCCCAGTAATGCTCCTCTTTCTGCCATCCCCTATCACCACCCAGCATTGTGGTTACAGATGCCTATAGCCACACCTGGCTTATCCAACCTTTCATAGCAAGTGCTCTTACCCAACTCCCCACACCCAGCCATCTCCCCAGCCCAGTAACTATCCACGATTCTTCCCCAGTGCTGAGAGTTGAACCTAGATTCTCAAGCATGCTAGTCGAGTGTTCCACTGAGATACCCAATCCTTGGCTTTAGTTTTTTGCAGTTGTAATAATGATATATTTTTACTTGACTGTAGGAGCATAGCTATCTGAGGTGCACATTCTTTTTAATGAAAAGATTTGTATCTTCAGATTTGGGAGATTTTCTTGTATTATCTCTTTCTTAATTTCCTTCCCTTGGTTATCCCCCGTTCCCTCAGCCAGGAGTTCCCCAAAGGATGCTGAGCCTTGAGATTAGTGCTCACCGCCACTTACTCGCTCACCTTCAGCCCCAGTTTTGGCATATCTGCAGCTGAGTTTAGTTTCCAACTTTCTGGTCTTACTTTCTAAGATTTCCTCAGCCACATTTTCCAACTTTACAAATTTTATTTAACAAATCATGTGCTTTTTAATTAACTATTTTTTATGTGTATAGATGCTTTGCCTGTGCCCCACACAAGTGCCTGCTGCCTGAGCAGACTAGAAGTGGTTTCCTGGGATTGGATCTACAAACAATTCTAAGAAGTCATGTGGGTGCTGGGAATTGAACCTGGGTCCTTTGGAAGAGAAGCCAGTGCTCTTAATCACCGGGCCATCTCTTCAGTCCCAACAAATCATGTTTTTAATTCCCAAAGTTAGCTGGGCGGTGGTGGCACACGCCTTTAATCCCAGCACTTGGGAGGCAGGGGCAGGAGGATCTTTGTGAGTTCGAGGCCAGCCTAGTCTAGAAGAGCTAGTTCCAGGACAGGAACCAAAAAGCTACAGAGAAACCCTGTCTCAAAAAAAAAAAAAAAAAATTCCCAAAGTTATTTAACTCCTTCTCCCACAGCATGGCATTCCTCAGTATGAGAACACTGATGAAAATCTCTTCCGATCTTTTCTTCCACTTAATCCCCACCCTCTGCTTACCACACATTCTATCTATACGTCTGTGGTGCCAGCCTTCCGGACCACAGACATGGACAGATACCACATGCACTTGACGCTGCACAGAAAGCAAGCCAGTTTACCTTCATGGAGTCTGAGTACAGAATGTATTCCCTGAGCACTGGTAGGAACTCCTCTGTCACATCATCAGTCAGCTCTTCCAAGGCCGTGGAGCAGTTCCCAATGCAGGCCGACACACCTTCCAGCGGCTCCGACAGTTCACCTTCCAAGGCGCTCCACGTGGAATACACGGGCCCATATTCCCTCAGCTCTACGAGGTACTCTATAGGAAGAGAAGCCACTTGGAATCTAGCTGGGAGCTCTCAGTGTATGACTGAGTTAGGAACTGGGTGCACAGCCTTGGCTGTTCTCTTTCCGGGGCATGCCTTCCTTTAAGTGCAATACATTCCTAACAATGTTTTTAATTTCTCAAAGCTATTGCGAATTACTAACATCCAAACATGTAGGATTCTTATTAACAGGAACCAAAATGCCCTACATGGGAAAGTGGCTAAGAGTAAACCCAGGGAACTTTGAAAATAATCACCTCTTCCCATGCTGCAAGTGCAACATCTTACAAAGCAATGTGGGGAGACTTTTATAAAGGTTCAGAGGGCCTCGGATCCCCTGGAACTGGAGTTATAGATGGTTGTGAGTCCACAGGTTCTAGAACTGAATCCAGGTCCTCTGCAAGAACAACAAGTGCTCTTAATCTGAGTCATGTCTTTAGTACCCAGGAGTGGGATCTTTTTCAAAGGAAAAAAAAATCATTCACAATGGAAAAACAAGAGGGTTATGGGGAGCACACTTTGCTGGAAGAGATGTGGTCTCATATAGGCAGATGCAGTCTCTCACTCAACAGTCCTATCAGTGGTTCCAGGGAAGAAGAAAAAAAATATTTTTCACCCCTACAGGGTAAATCTGGCCCTTCCTTTGTCAGCAGGATTCTTGCCAGTTTTGACACGATGTGGTTGCTGTGTTTAACTATTAGCAATTGACAGTAACTGACGTGGTTTTAAAAGGCCTGTGTGACACCACTGTTCTGGTATGTCTGGCCTATATCTGTGTGAGAGGACAAACTGCCCCACTGTATCGGGATGTGGCTAATCAGGTGGCCATGACAGGAGACAGGGAGACAAGCAGTGGCGGTGACAAGGACAGAAGAGAGGCAGGGCATGGTGAAGGGGTTCAAAAGTTTACTGGGTCATAACCTTGGCAAACATGGATGCCCACACCACCTCTCTGCTAAGTTTATTCCTGTGGATGGAGAGCACGGGAAAGCACCATGCTGAGTGCAGGACAAAACTCCATTCTAGTCACAGCCAGCCCCTCCCTCTCTGTATGTGGTTTTCAAGCAGTACAAGGCCTGGTTCTGCCACTGCAGCATTTCTGCAGGCTGCTTCAGCCCGGTATGTATGAACGCCATCCCCATCACTCTGGGCACCGCTAGTCTCAACAAAGGGCTCACCTATTTCTTCTTTGATGATCCGCTGGGCTATCCGGTCAATGGTTCCCAGTTTGAGTGCAAAAGTGTCTAAGTAGTCGCCGATGGCTGCAAACTCCAGAGGCCGACTCCTCAGCTTATAGCCGCCCGTGACGTGCTTGACTGACTCCCCCACTCTGCTCAGCAGTGCCATTCCCTGCTTCTTGTAGGCATTCAGGTCCTGCAGATGACAAAGTACCATTTGGTCACGTGGCTAGGGCTAAGGAAACAGCTCCGGAAGCCGTGTCTCATTGGAAACGGAAGTACTAGAAAGCAGGGCTGTTAGGGCCGCATGCACATGATAGCCACACTGTGGGAACTCTTTCCATCGGGAGGCCAGATAAACATCTACCTACTCTTACAGGGCAAACCAAAGTACAAGTCCAAAGTTCAAAGTGAGGAGTCAGGGACCTAACTGAGCTTACTTACAGAGTACAGGTGTCTCACCCCGCATGGATGATGACAGACCCATAGCCACAAATATGGACAGCCTCCCTCAGCTAAACATCTAGAGTCTATACACAGTAGCATCTGCCAAGACCAGCTGGCTGTGAAGTGAAAGAGGGTGTGGGCGGGGTGAAGTGCTCGGCACACACATGCCTGGCCTTCTATGATGGACATCAATAGTCACAGCTGCTCTGATACGCTGGCAGCTTAGGAACAGCACTCTACCCCAGACCCCAGACTCACATCCATATGCTCATGTCCAGATTCCCTGTCAACATGGTGGGGCCCTAGATCCTCTAGGCAAGTCTACACCCTATCTTTACTACATCCTGTTTTTAAACGCAACACTTTCTAACACAACTTTTGTAAAATCTTTGGTAAAAATGCCTCATGCTGTCTTAGCACAAAATTAAATGCCCAAAGATTTATTCCATTCACACACTCAGACTCAACTAGAGCCACATAAAGAAGGTGGAGGGAAGAAGGTGGGGCGCTGAGAAGAAACAACAGAAGCACCGCTAGAAAACTCAGTTGTAAACAAACTTTAAACTCTGTGAGTCAGCAAAAGTGGGAAATGGGTTGTATTCAAATACTGCAGCTTTAAAAAGATACACTGTGCAGCACCTGTGGTTCCATTACTCAGGAGGCAGAGGCAGGTGGATAGCTGTGAGTTTAAGGCCAGTTTAGTCTATATAGTAAGACCCTGTCCCCCAAACCAACCAACCAACCAACCAACCAACCAACCAACCAACCAAACAAACAAACAAAAAGCTCTTAGATCTGAGCTGGTGGTGCATGCCCATCATTCTTGGGAGGCTAAGGAATGAGGATCAGGAGTTCGAGCTAGCATGGGCTACAAAGTGAGACCCTATCATGGTCACTGCTCCATTGCTGTGAAGAGACACCATGACTACGGCAACTCTTATAAAAGAAAGCATTTAAGGGCTGGAGAGATGGCTCAGTGGTTAAGAGCATTGCCTGCTCTTCCAAAGGTCCTGAGTTCAATTCCCAGCAACCACATGGTGGCTCACAACCATCTATAATGAGGTCTGGTGCCCTCTTCTGGCCTTCAGGCATACACACAGACAGAATATTGTATACATAATAAATAAATAAACAAATAAATAAATAAATATTTTTTTAAAAAAAGAAAGCATTTAATTGGAACCTGCTTACAATTTCTGTCATAGCAGGGAACATGGCAGTATGCTTGGTGCTGGAAAAGTAGCTGAGAGCTACATCCTGATCCACTGGCAGAGAGGGAGAGGAGGGGAGGGCAAGAGAGGAGAGAAATCCTGATTTATTGGGCAGGGCGGCTCAAACAGACCTGGTGTGGGCTTTTGAAATCTCTAGCCCACCTCCAGTGACACACCTCCCCTAACAAGGCCACGCCTCCCGATCCTTCTCACTCTGATGACCAAGCATTCAAATACAGGAACCAATGTGGGCCACTCTTATTCAAACCACCAGAGACCCTGTCTCAAAACAGTAACAAACCGGAAGTGTAACGAGCCCATCGGGGAACACGCCTGTTCCCATTACTGAAATGTATCTTAGGCTGACCTGTATCACTTTCAGAAATGGGTTTACAGAAGGTGCTGGTGTCTCTTGCTCATCCACACCACTACACAAACAGAACAATCACCCCCAGTTCATGGAGGGGTGGGTAGAGCTAGGCTATGGCTTTCTCATGACCTGACCTGTAAAGAACCAATACCTGGTGAATGACAAGACTGCCCATGCCCACCTGAGAACAACAGTAATTCCCTCCAGCGCCTCTCCATCTCAGTCAGGCAATTGGGAGAATATTCTAAAGCTTCCATCTCCTATCCTGACGTCCTGACATCCCCAAAGGCACCAGACCTCCTCACGACTGTCACTGAAGCCTCACTGTTGCTGAGTTCATGTGCCGCAGGTAAGTCAACTACCAAGTGGATGAAATTATTAGTGGTACCTATCGGCACAGCCCAAACCCAGCCCACTTAGCTTCCTCACACCCTCCCAGCACCACAGGCTTCGTGTTGGCGACATGTCTAGTTTGGGATAAGGGCATGTCATCACCAAGAGGACTGTCTGTGCAAATGCTCATCTATGGACTCAGACACACTCCCTGCTCTAAGACACTGCCTTCCCAGGTTAACTGACAGCCGTGACACCCAGGTCAGGCCTGTTGCTAATCATAGAAAAAAGAACTCCTTCCTTGACCTCCTCTCGGCTGTAGGTAAGTCTCCTCTGTGGTTGGAGTCAGCTTAACAGAAGGGAGTACTTATCTACGTAGCTACAGGGAAATTCACTTGAGTGAGACTGTTGTGTGGTGTGGTGGTTACAGTCGTACTTTCTCCTGTATGTAACTCCTTCCCCAGGCTCTGTAAACAAAACTCCATGAACCCACTGGTTTGTGGAGCTTGGCTTTGGAGAAATCATGACCTTGGAGTCATTGGTGTCCTGTCTGGGGGAGGAACAGATGTTTGCTGACAACTCTTCACACAACAGTTTCATCAAAGGAAAATATACAAGAGTGACGTGCAGAGAAGCAGCTCTTGTCTCAGGAGTAGAGTTTCAGATTTGGAAGACTGGAAAGTCCTAGGAGAGTTCTGGAGAGTGTTCGCGTAGCAACCTGGCCTGGCCACTCAGAAAGGGTTAACACCATATATAGTTTATCACAGTTCAAAAGAAAAGATGGGTTTCTGGGTGTGGTAGCGCACACCTTTAATCCCAGCACTTGGGAAGCAGAGGCAGGAGGACTCCTGTGAGTTTGAGGCCAGCCTGGTCTACAAAGCGAGTTCCAAGACAGGCTTCAAAGCTACACAGAGAAACCCGGTCTTAGAAAAAACAAACAAACAACAACAACCACCCCGACCCCCCGAAACCCAAACAAACGGGCTGTGTGGTGTGTTTAGTTTGGCAAGTAACACTAAAATGGGCTTCAGTTTGTTTTGGTTCTGGCTTTCTTCTCTGTTTCTTCAGAAAGGGGCTCATGTATCCCAGGCTGGTCTTCAATTCACTATGTAACTGAGGATGACCCTGTCCCAATCCTTGTGCTTCTACCTCCCAAGTGTGCACCACACCACGTCCAGGCAGCACTGTTTAAGGGCTGCTCGCCTGCACTCACTCACATGAGTTCATGTCTCTCTGAGACACGGTCTCCCGCTCATTCTCCACGCAGACTCCTGAGGAACAGGAGTCAGAGACACAACCCTCCCACACTACACTCAGTAATGAGGACAGCCTGGGGCTTCTGGACAAAGGACCCGCACCCTGAGACTGACATGCACTTTGGGAGATGCTTACATCAAACATGTTCAGTCTGTAGGGGGAGCTGTTGTATGGCTGCCATCCATGGAAGTTAAAAACAAAAGCTTAGAGGACTTTGCCAGAAAGTTTCCATGAGTGGAAAACAGACTCTTCCAGAAGCCTTAAATTTTAGCAGTTGCCATCTGCACACATGCCTCTGCAATTTTAACAGCGTGAAACGGACAGTACTTAGACCTCAACACCCTTGTCATTAGAGCGTTCTATGCCTGGCGTGAATGCAGGAATCTGCAGCTAACTGGGATGGCCTGAGCATGTGTCACATTTCTGCGTAGGAAGAGTGGAGCCTCGGATTTCAGGTCAGTTCTGCCAACAGCAAGCAAAGCACAGGCCAGCTGAACGAGCAACTTGAGCTTGAACAGTCTCTAGCAACAGGCTGGACACAAGGCTTTTTGGGCAAATGACTGGAAAACACACCTAAGAGGAACATCGCTGTCAGCAAGCAATGTCCAGGCCTTGTGGTACAGATGGGAATCAGGCCTTAAGAGCCACAGGACCCAGTTTCAAGTCCTAGAGATGCCAAATGAACAGGCTGAATCTCTCTGAACTGCAGTTCCCTCGGCTGAGGGGGCCCGAAGGTATCACGGCAGGGAAGAGGTGAGAAAGGAAATTCGGCTCAGATTAACTCTGTCAATTTGGATCAGACCTGGGGAGGCTCAGGCCAGGTGGTTCACTGTCAGCGTATTTAAAACACAGTACAATTTGGGAAAAAGTTTCCAGGCAACAATCATTCCAATTCCAGGTCCACAATAGAGCTTAAGATGTGACTACATAGAAACTCCTTTGCCAAGTACATGTGACCATGAGGGCTGGCTCTACAGCTAAAAGGCCTAGAATCTATTGTGGTCTCTGACCAAGGTAGCATAGAGGCCATAAAGTACACGTAACATCTCCCCTAAGGATGGGTTCTATTAACTGAGAGCTAAAGATAAGTTCTAGGGAGGGAAGTGTCTGGGATAAACATTTTGGGTGATTTGGGTGAGGTCTGCCTTTATAGCAAAAGGTAGGTGTGGTAGTTTGAATGTAATTGGCCCCCATAATCTCACAGGGAGAGGTACTACTAGGTGTGGTTTTTTGGAGGAAGTGTGTCACTGTGGGGGCAGGTTTTGGGATTTCCTATGCTCAGGTAACACCCAATATCTCAATCAACTTCCTGTTGCTGATGGACTCTCAGCCCCATCACTCTGTCTGCCTGCATGCCACCGTGCTCCCTGTCTGGACTGAACCCCAAGTGAGCTACCCCCAATTAAATGTTTTCATTTATAAGAGTTGCTACGGTCATGGTGTCTTCTCACAGCAACAGAAACCCAAGACAGTGGGTGAGATCTGCCTCCACAGACAGTAAAACGGTCACCAGGTTGTTAATAGTGTCCACGCTCAGCCTTCTGGGTGGAAAACAGGTAATTCTCCCATTGAGAAGAAGCCTCTGCATGTTTAACATTCCTGGACCTTTGTGTGTACAACAGGTTCTTATGGAGAATACTTTTATAATGCATTACTTTGAGCGTGTGTGTATGTGTACTTTGGTATGTGGGTGGCATGCGGAGGTCAGAGGGTAACCCTGTGGAGCTGGGTCTTTCCACACTTATGTGGGTCCTGGAAAGATTTGGCTCCTGAGGCTTCTGTGGCCAATACCTGATCCACTGAACCATCCTCCCAGCCCCGAAGGACACTATCCTTTCGCTTTTGTACCTATTGTTGGTAAGCCTCACCTACTAACACTGCCAGGAAGCATCTACAGGACACTTCTGTTTCTGGTAAGTAAAAATTCCGACTTCTATTGCTAAGACAAAGGGGCAGCCTGTCCTCCTCTTGGATTCTAAAACAGAAAGCATGCTAATGCCGCGGGCACCCAAAGTCGAGGACCTTATGATGCCCCCCTCAGGGCACCACTCACGGAAGAGCAAAGCGGTGGTTTGAAAAGGAGCCCAATAATAATCATTTACAGACAAAGACACAAAATTCTGCCCGTACCTTAGCCGTGAGGAATACATTGAAGTGTTCATTGAAAGAGAGCACAGGGTGATCTGTGATCCTTTTTAGGAATTTATCCAGGGCTTTTCTTCTGGTCTCCACAAACTCTTCTGAGAAACGATCCACGACCCCTTTCACCACGAACTTCTCAGGAAGTGGCTGAGGTGGAGAGAAACGCAGCAGTCAAGACGGGGCAGGAACAGCTCCCGGGCTAACGAAGATCTGCCGCCTGTCTGAACAAGCTTTTTTTTTTTTTTTTTTTTGGTCTTTCTTCCTTTCTTTTTTTTAAGGTAGGATCCCACATAGTCCAGCCTAGTCTCAACTCACTTTGTATCCGAAGATGACCCTGAGCTCTTTCCTCAGGACTCCAACTTCACAGAGATTACAGGTATATCCTACCATATCATTTTATGCCAAGCACTTTACCAACTGCACTGTATTTCTAGCCTAAGTATAGTAGTTCTTAATCTGTTAGATCTTTTTCTACCAACACAGGGTTTCTCTGTGTAGTCTTGGCTGTGCTGGAACTCACTCTGTAGACCAGGCTGGTCTTGAACTCAGAGATCCACTTGCCTTTGTCTATTTAGGGCTGGGATTAAAGGTGTGTGCTTTCTTCGAGTGTCAGACTTTATATTATCATCAACACAAAGATTTTTGGGAAACACAGATGTAGCAAATCCAACTGTCCTCTCAGTTTGATATGCACAGAACAAACCACTATAGCACAGCCCTGAACTACTGAGAAGTCAACATCTGTTCAGAAAATACAGGTAGATTGTCTTTAAACATGCATAGATGTTGTAAGAAGAAAGATGGAAGACAAAGTCTAAGACCAGAAAGCAAAGGCTGGGGAGGCAGCCCAGCCTATTCAGTGAGCTCCTAGATTGTGGAAGACTCCATGTCCAAAATAAATTAAATAAAATAAAATAAAGAAAGAACATGAAAATAAAAGAAAGGACAGATAATGCCAGAGGAACAACACCCAAGGCGGCCTCCATACACACTTGTACACACCAGACACACACACATGAACCTACACTACCTACATATGCATACTCATACACACAGAGACACACTAAGGAAGGGGCGCAGACAACATCAAGCACACAAAAATTTATTAAAATAGCTTAAGATTCTGTTCCCAGTTCAAATGCAGAAATAAGGAAGAGGGCAAACTCACACAGTTTAAGACGATCTTTATTTTCCTTTTAGGTTTGTAATTGAAATGTAACTTTCCTTATTTCTCTTATTCAACTTTTTCTATCATAAATCTTTGAGCCAACACTGTTGAACTATGTAAACTAGTTGCTCTTCCAGGGACCTTTGAGCTTTGTTTATTTCCTTGGTAGCTTGCTCAAATGAGTGACTAAATATGTCTATCTTACTGCCTGCCAGAGGAAAAGCGACTGCTATGCACAGTTGAAAAATATCTGTGCTCTGACAAAAAAAAATGTTGGTGAAAATGTAGACAGAGGGAAGTCTTATCTACCTACTGCTGGTAGAAATATACACCAATTCCTTCACTATGAAAACCAGTGTTGGGGGGGGGTCCCCTCAGTAAACTAAAAATTGGATTCCCTTGATAGTAGACATCTTTAATCCCAGCACTCCTGGAGGCAGAGGCAGGTGGATCTCTTGAGTTCCAGGCTAGCAAAGTCTTTATAGTAAGACAAAAGCAAAGAACATAACTGTGGCAATGAAATATTCTAAAAATTATCTCTTGTAGTCTAAGAGACTAGTGTTTGCTGGACCACACAGCCAGAATTAATAATAAAACACCTTGAGGTCACGTAAGTCAGACAGCTAGCCTACTGTGTACTCAAACTGTTTAGCCTGCCTTTAACTGAACACTCATCCTTCCCCGCCTTGGATTTCTCATGTGATCACTGTTTACAGTCTAAACGAATGCACAGCACAGCTATGAGCTTTCTGTTTTTATTGTTCTTTGTTTTTTCAAGACAGGATTTCTCTGTGTAGCCTTGGCTGTCCTGGGACTGACTCTGTAGACCAGAATGGACTAGAACCGGGAAATTTGCCTGCCTCTGCCTCCCAGAGTGCTAGGATTAACGACATGTGCCATCACTGCCCAGTTCATAGCTGTAATCTTAAATTCCATGCCCCTGGCCCAGAATAATGCCTGGGTATCACTTGCTGAAAGCAGCAAACACAGAGATTGAAAGCAACTTTCTAAAATCTACTACCAAGGTTGAAAGCAACATTTATGAATATTGATTGATAAACAATATTTATAATACTGTTTGTTATGTGAGTAGTTTGGAGCCATGGCTTAATCCCTCATAAAACGCTGTTAAAGATTTCCATAACGTATCCCATTCTTTCTCATGTGCTGTTCAATGATGGAGGTGGGTCTTGTATCTTATCTGTTGCTTTCTTTGGTTAATAATAAAGAAACTGCCTCGGCCCTCATAGGACAGAAAATTAGGTAGGTGGAGTAAACAGAAGAGAATGCTGGGAAAGAGAAGCTGAGTCAGGGAGTCGCCATGGTTCTCCCACTCCAGACAGACGCAGGTTAAGATCCTCCGTGGTAAGCCACCTGGTGGGCTACACAGAATATTAGAAATGGGTTAGAACAATATGTAAGAGCTAGCCAATAAGAAACTGGAACTAGCCGGACCAGGCAGTGTTTAAAAAGATACAGTTTCCGTGTAATTATTTCGGGGCATAACCTAGCCATGCGGGCGGCCGGGTGCCGGGGACGCAGCCCTGCTGCTCCTAATTCAACAGTTCAATAAAGACAGAATAAAGCTCTTCATTTAAACACAGACACACAGACAGAAGATCCAGACACAGGGACAGATTCACAAAGACACCTGCAGACAGACACAGATTCAGATCATACGACAAAGGATTGAAGGAACAGGGAACATGAAGTAGAGAATTCAAACCGGGGCTCGCTCTTAGTTAAATGACACCAAGGGGAAGAACTTTTATTTCTTGCCTTAATGCAAAATCCTTGCATTATTGTTGACTCAGAGTTAATCACTGTTTAACCCATGAATAAAATCTGTAAAAAAAAAAAATGAAAGTAGATCTGCTAAATAACCTTGTTATACAGCTGGGTATCTGACAGAGAGACTCTAAGCCAGCGTATCACACAGACACTTCACAACAGCTAAGCTAGGGCTGAATGGAGGGATGGATGAACAACTGTGCCATATACACAGTGAGTCTTCAGCTGTAAACGAGTTATGTCGAATTACAAGCACCTGCAGATAACTAACCACAGATGTGGCTCCTAGATTTTATACATACATGGGGGAATAAAGGGAGGTGGAGAGGCGGGTATGCTTAGTGGACATGTATCTGTAGAAAACTATCCTTAATACCACAGTACCACATACAATGATTATATACAATAAAATCAAGTGTTTGAGTTTTAAAATATCTAAAAACACATTTGTTTTTTTAAAAAAAGAGCAAATGGGATGATGATGACGCTCAATAATATTGGTGATTTCTCCCAGAACCTACAAACAGCCAAGGAACACCTGAAAAGATACCCGCTTAATTACCTGGGAAATGAATCAAAACTGTAATGAACTTGGATGTGATGATACACACATGTAATCCCAACATTCAGAAGACTAAGGCAAGAGAAACCTGAGACCATCCTGGGATATATCAGCCAGGATGAACTACATAACAGGTCCCTGTCTCAAAAACAAACACCCTAAATATTTGTACAGATAAATATTGGAATCTACAAAAAATCCTACTTGCAAATTATTACAATAATCCATTGGAAATGTAAGGGTTTAATTTTGAAACAGTGACATTATACCCCTGAGACTTGGGGCTAAATATTACATGTGGTTTTTGCTTAAATCTAGTCTGTTATTTGAAATAAAGGCATGTTTCCTGTACATTGCCACAGAGAAGTGTATTTCTAAGTAACAATCTAAACGCAATCATGGATGTGACAATGTCTTGTCAAGAGTCAGAATCTTCCCTGAATTCAACAAAGACTTCATCGCTGAAACCTGTCCCTTCCCACCCTTACCAACTTGATAGAGAACCCCACTCCAAGGCAAGATTCACTATCAAACAAAGAAGCATCAAGATTAAAAATCATGCCATTAAGAAGAATAATTGCCAACCCTAGTTTAATTCAAGGTACTTGGCAAGTTCAATCAATATTTTACTATTAACTTCCCTAAAGCTAAAAGTACTTCAAAATAAAGGGTGGGGTGCTAAAGAGATGGCCTGTCAGTCAGGAACACTTGCTGCTCTTGAAGAGGACAAGAGTTTGGTTCCCAGCACCCACATCAAGTATCTCACAACTGCCTGAAACTCCAGCTCCAGGGGACCGAATGCCCTCTTCTGGCCTCCATGTGCATCTGCATACACGTGGCAGATAGCACATGCATGTGCAAATGTTTTATATAAAAAGATGGACTTATTGTGAGATATTCTGATGGCACTCTAACACTCCCAATAAAGTTAAAGCTAGAATCAGGGGGTAGAGCCAGTGACTAGCTGACCAAAATTGGCCATACAGAATCCAGCAATTTGGATAGAGAAGACACATAGGAAGGAAGGGACAGTGACTGGAGTCTGGGTTTCCTCTTGGTTCTGGGATGAGGGAAGAGACATGTTTTTTTGTGGTGTCTCTGGCCAAAAAGTAAGACCAACTAGTTGCTGCTCAGCCTCTCTGAGCTAGCAGGCTTTTAACCCCAGCCTTTGACTGCAGAGTCTTACTGGTAATTAAAATGACAGGATTAAATTAAATTAATTTTATTGCATTAATTTAAATGTATAGGTTAATTAAACCTACACACTGAAGCCACAGCAGAGCCAGGACTATTGGACTGGAAGCCCCACCAAGCCACGGCTGACTGAGGGACTGTGGTGCTGTAGACAACAATTAAAACAGCAGTAAATTCATGTGCAGCCACTAAGCCGACAGAAAAACCCCAGTGACTGGCTAGAAAATGAAGTCATTTTATCATTTCAGATTGGGGAAAACAGTTGCTGCAACACAAATTCTTCTCATTAACTCCAGTGAGAAGAAAGCTGCATAGCAAACACATCTTTCCTCCTTTGGGAAAAGCAAACATTCATTTTGCAAGTAAAACTAAACACCAGCGTGTTTAATAGATGTATGCACACCATCTCCCTACACATGCCCATCTAATCGT